GCACCTGAGTGATGCCCAGAAGGGAGGGAGGCAGGATCTGCCCCTCCTCACCTTCATGTAAGGGTTAGCAGCCGAGGGAGCAGCACCCCTCCAGATAAGATTGCGCTCTTCTTGAGCTATCACTGGTTGCTGGAAGAGGTGAACTGATTTTTCTTCTTTGTGATCTTCTATTGCTCCACATCACTGGTGTCCCTGCAGAAGGCACTGTCATTGCCTTCTTTTGCTGCACAGTGTCCAACCTTTGGATTTACCTGGGCCACGCTGAGTAAGGAAGAACCGTCTTGGGATGCATATATGTGTGTTGCTCCAAAAGTAATGCCTCCTATTTATTTCCTTGGGAACTACATCAGATACGATGAGCACAGTAACACCATTTGATAGAACAAATTCTCAACTAAAACCCACCACTTTTTTAACATAGTCGCCACCATTAGCTATGCGTTCTTGCCAGCAACGAACAGGAGCCTTCACACTGTGCTTTTCAAAGCCTGCACCAGAGGAGGTGACCCGCTGTTGCTGTCACCCCTGCTGAAATACAGCACCTCCTCACTGTGCTCACACCCACCAGTTGGGCTCCATCAGCATTCACACGTGTTGATGAATGTCAGTAGGTGCCACGTTTCTGCCTGGAGGAACTCAATGACAGCTTTGCTCCACCTGCACTCCCATGTCAGACACCATTTGGGCTGCATCAGGAGCTCCCATTCCTGCTGGCTGTTGGGTCACCTGGAGGCGGGTGCTGAAGGCTCAGCAATGAGTTCCTCAGGTGCTGCATCAGGAGGTGCTTTAGGTCCTGCAGGCACATGGGCACATTTGGGGCTGTGACTCTTGCAGGTGTGTTGTGCTGTGCTCATCAGCCCTGGGCCTGCAGTGCTGACAGGTCCTGGGTTCCTTGGGGGCAGTGAGCAGGAGAGCTGCTGGCATCCTGAGGTGGCCTTCATTGCTGTGTCTGTAATTGGTAGGAGCTGCTTTCCCTAAACCCGTTGTGTTTTTTTAAAAAGTGATTTTTCTCTCTGTCATCGGAATCTGGTTCTGATTTCCTTACAGTAAAGATTTTTGGTGGATTGTACGGCCAGAAAGACAAATCTGTTAGGTCAACTTTGATTACATCGGGGAGACGCATTCCATTATACAACTCGCTGGGGTCTGTGCCGTTCCCAAGCAAAACACACAGCTCCCTCAAATGTCACGCTTTGATGGATTCCAAGCGCGTCCCCCCAAACTCCATCAGACCTTCCAATCTGCAGGGCTCCCCAGACCCTCCCACCCCGCCTTCCTGGATCTGATTCCCTGTCACAGGCTCTGCTCCCAGTAACTGCTCCCGACAATTTAATCTCGCTTCCCCCGTGTGCTGGGATGGATGTCACGTTCAGCACAGGGGAGGGAGATGCAGTGGGTATGGAAGTGGCCACTTTCCGTGATCTAAAAGCATTGAAATGCAAAATTGCAAAGCTGTGTGTGCGGAGTGGCACAAAACGAGATCAACTGTGGCTCATCAGCAGGATGAGCTGCTCAGCACAACACTGCAGCTCAGGTAGGAGTGCTGGGAGCGGCTGCAAAGTGTTTGCAGCTTACAGCTGTTCTTTTGGTTGGGACTGCAGTCTGGATAGTGAAACAAGTGGAAAATGTGCACAGAAAGGACGTACTAAATAGAGAGGAGGGAAATTCGGTAAAAGCACTCATGAAAACTTTCATCTCGTCTGCATTTCTGATGAAATGGGATCCAGTTAAACTGCTTGAAACCCCCACCCACGTGTGCTGCTAGAATGCAGAAATGAGAGCTTGTAGTGGCTGCATGCATTTGTTCCCAGCTTTAAATGTTTGTTGTCTAGCCCATCAGACTCTTTGATTGCTGTGTAATTTATCTAATTATTCCATAGAAAATGATCTTTTTTTTTTCACTTTTGTTAGAGCTGATGGAAAGTTTTGCATTTGCCAAGGCAAAAGCTTGTTGTGCCCATTTGGTTTTTGCCAGTCTGTGGAATAGATTGCTTTTGAAAATCAGGTACATAATGGCTGAAAAGGCACAGATCTGAGTAACCGAGCTTCTGACCGGATGAGCTTTGGTGTGAAGCAGCATTCGGTCAGCAGCTAAGGCCGTTCCCTGGGATAACTGCCCCCTCCTCATGGCACTGCATTCAGAACAAAACTTAAAAGATGAAAGTCAAAGAACAGCTCGACCCCCTGTTGGTATATGGACTGCTTGAATTTTAGCTCAGCCGCATCCCAGGTGTGCTACGTGGTAATGGTTCACACAGCTGTGTAAGAATGCATTTCCATTGGCACTTCTGCTGGGCACTGTCTAATTGAGAAGCAATTAATGCATGTAAGATTCAGACGTCCACAGAGACTGAGGCTGCAGGGCCTTTGTTATTCCTGCATGCTTAGCACAGGTTAGCAAATAACTGCCTTCTGCACGAGCATCTGTGGAACTGTCTGATTCATTTGTGGTTTCTATGGTATAAAAGATAGAGATGCTGTAAAAGCGTGTCACAGGATAAACGTTCCTTGCATTGGGTGTAAAAAGATTGGCTTTTGTTGGTTTTCATGGTGAGGAGTGGTGTACAGTAGCAGTGTTCTCGTGTATTAACATCTGTCTTCTGAAGCTGAGACTGGAGTAGTGAGAGCAACGACTGCACAAAATGCATCATCTTAAAGGTAGGTCGTTTTGCTCAGCTTTTTGATTTTTAATTTAATCTCAGAATTATACATTGAGATGTATTAACTGTGCAGAATCTCATTGGATGAACGCAGCAGAGGACTCATGTGAACAAACTCCTGCAGAGAACGCTGCAGAGCCCTCTCTCCCCTGAACTCCATAGCTCCACGTCTCCCATACTTTCAACAGCAGCTCAGCGTGTGGTCAGTGGGAGCTTCTTGTGTGCTCAGCTTCAGTGCCTCTAGAACAGCAATTTGCTGGTATGAGAACAACCTTCTCTTACAGACGTCTGCCCCTTTGTGTGTCGTACCCCCAACACTCTTTCCTCACCCCACAGCTTCCCTCCCAGACCAAAAAGGAAATAAAAAGAAGCAGCAGTTTAGCGAGGTAAGCGTTGAAATTACTTCTTTTCCTCTCAGTTCTGAAATTTGTCATAATACAGAGGTTATGCAAAGGTGCCTCGCTGTGCAAACTCCACGTGGAGGCTTCCAGGTGGGCTGGGAACCTTGTTTGCGTTCTGCGCCCAGGAGTGAATTTTGTTGCTGCTATTATTAAAAGTGCCTCTGCTTAACTGTGGCATGGCTAACAGCAAACCCTCACTTAAATCTCTAAAGTAATAAAGACAGATGAATTACAGTAATATGAAAATCTGTGCTTCTGCAAAAGAAATCCCCCCTGTAGGCTGTGGGCTGCACCTGACCCTTGGACAGGCATCTTTCCAAACTGAACTGAAACTCAGTGTGAATTCCGCTGTTCCAGGATATTCAGGCTGAGTCACGGCCCTCGAATAAAGATGCACAACGATGAAACAGGGCAAGCAGTGAGGACACGTGGCCCTCGTTCTGTCTGAAGCCACGGTGGGCAGAGGGAAGTGCCCATCACCATGGCCTTGTTATGGGCGCTGCCCTTTGCGCAGCTCTGCTCCTTGGGTGCCGAGGGGCGGCCGCTTCTCCGCCAGCTCTGAGAGGTTGATAAATCACCAAAAAAGCCACACTTTTATGTGGGGGGAAAAAAAAGGCATTCGGCGTTTTTTTTCCCGAGTAAAGTATGCAGAAAACCTGCTTAAATGGGGCATATAATTTTTAATGAATCAGGCCCTTTCTCTTAGGAAATGAAGCAAGTATGATAGATATGATGGAAACCAGTGAACGTGTAGGGTCTAGTAATCATATAATCATATTTGGAACCCACCTGAGGGTTTGCATGAAAGGCAGTAGCTCAAAAGGGTTATTCTTTACACTAGCAGACTTTGAGGAATGTGGAATAAATTGAAGAAATTTGATTGTAATCCGTTAACAAAAACGGTGCTACTCAGGCAGATATGGGAGGAGCAATTAGAGAGACACCAGGCATCTTCATCTCAGTACAAGGGCTTGGTTGTTGAAACGTTTGTTTTGAAGGAATCCAGGCATGACCTGCTTATGAGCACTTCCTTACCCGATTCCTTTTCTTGACCAAAACTCTTAATGCTGAAAATCCCTGTGAGAGGGAACATCTCCTGTTTTGGGGCCGGACCACGGCTCTGTTAGCGCTTCACTTCCTTCTGCATGGGACATGGAAGGGACAGAAGGCAGCTGCTGCAGGTAATGTGGGCAGAGCTGAAATGGATGACAGGTGAATTTGGAGACCCTCGGATGTTGGTTTTGAATTCCCCGCCCTTGTAAATGCTCCAGCCAGGAGTTCTGGTCATTTGCTGCTAATAGCAGTAAGGATGAAGCAATGGGTGTTTGGGAGGATGGCTCCCTTTGTTCAGCAGTGTACTGGCATGCTTCAGAGTGTCTGCCTCCGCTGAGCCCTCAAAAATAGGCTTTGCCACAGACACCAGCAGCTGCTGGAGCTAATTCTGTGCTTACTGCTGCTGAAAGGTGGGGGTGTGACTCCAGAACTCCAAGGCAGGGGGTCTCGGATCGAGTCATGCTAGTAATTGACAAAAGAAATGATGTTCACCTGAGGATTAAAGGAAGATTCTGATGGATGTGCTTTCAAATGTTCCCTACGCCAGATTTCCAAGAGTTTCTGAGTTTCTATGTACCTCGGCTTCCCACAATGCCTTTAATTCAGTGCTGATTCAAAATGAGGTGGAAGCACAGAAAGTGCTGTAGATATTCCTTTAAACATACAGTTTGATGGAGAATAGATTTTTTTTGAGCTGACGGATATTGGAAGTTTACAGGAATATCAACATACAGAAACATTTTTTTTTTTTCAGACTAGCTTACATTATTTACCTTCTTTTAGGTATATAACAAAGCTGGGAGATGTTTGTTAGTTTTCTATAAAATATATGATAGGTACAGTAAGTTAAAGTATCAACAGATGAAGAAAAATGGATGTTCACAACTTTTAAACATTAAATCTGCTCCTTTATTTGTGCTTTTCTGGAAGTTTACAGGGACTTGTTGACTGTGTTCCTTATTTGGAGCTCACGTTTCAGATGGGATGGGTATTTTCTGCAAAACATGTTGATAGGCAAAGGTTAGATCAGCAACACGCAGTGTCTGTATATCTCTTATGGGGAAATGAGGCCAACAAAATAGTTACTTTAAATAATATGCTGTAAATGGAGATTACAGCATTCTGGACAAACGAAATATTCGGTTTATAGAAACGAAGAGAGAAAGCAAACAGTGACCATTGGTATTGATCAATCAGGGTTGCATTTTCTTTGTTCAGGCCATCCACATGCCACAGACATTAGGAATTATTGGAATGGGATGGTGGGACCCCTCTCACTTCTTTGGTACTTGAGGACCAAACACCCACCTGAGCAGCCCCCAGAAATTCCACCCCAGTGGCAATCCAACACCTCCTTATACCTACTTACTTGTTTTAGAATTCAAAAGCAATTAACCAAAATCCAGCACTGAGCTAGAAGCAGCTCATATTACATAACATTACTGACAGTGGGAGGGCTGTACCAACAGGTTCACCCATCTTAGCTTGGGTATATAATAACTGCAACCCATGGGAGTTTTAAAGAAGCCAAGTTCTGTTAGTCCTGCCTTTATTTTATGAGCACAGAAACCCAAGTGAGAAGCCCTACCTTCAGAATTGCTCATCTTCGGTGGTCATTGTGGTCCTTTTCAACCCAGCCCATTCTGTGATTCTATGAAAGCTGTAGGGAAAATACACTCACAGAATTGCTGCAAATTCTAGCCAAGCAGACAGTCCTGTGTCTTGTTTTGCTTGTCCTGTATCTCTGTCTGCTTTACCTTGTTTCTAACTAAAGGAATCAAAATATACCCCGCTTGGCCAAATGCAATAGAGGTGAGCTTTATTGCTCGTTATGCCATCAGTGATGGGAATACAGTGCTTGGATGATCTGTGATCAGAGGATGTTCTCTCTGGGTGAATTATACCAGTTACCAGATAACAAAGGAAATTCAACAACAACCTTAAGGCTGTTTATTACTCCTTATTGAGGCTGAAGGTTTTGAGACTGCCTGCTCAGGTATCAGTTTGAGGCTGTGGAAGCTTTATGCAGTTTCTTTAGCATGCTGGAAAACCGTGCAAGGCTGCAGTTTGGGTTTTTGGAAGGACATTAGTTGCCATGTAGAAGCTCTCCTCATGACTAAAAGCATTGTTAGAATTGTGAAGTAGAAGGATTGGGTTTTGGAAAGACCTCCATCACCTGATACTCATCTGGGGTAGACCTGCTCCTCTCTAACAAAGCAAACAGCTCCATGTGTTTATCCAGCAGGAAGCCCAGCTGGTTGCTATGAGGGAACTGTGAGGTCACAGTTTGAACTGGTGATTGAGCACCTGGTGATGTGGGGGAGGCTGGCCCAGGGAGCACAGGAACATTGCTTGCACCTCTGCTCCACAGCTGAGCAGGAGTGGAATCAGGGTGGAACTGCCCTGGGCTCATATAAGAGTCTGCCATGGGGGAGAGCATCTCAGGGACCTGGGCTTCCTGAGGAGTGCTGCAAAGCTAGAGATCCCCCTCATCACTTGGGTGAGTTCAGCTCTCCTTTCTGTATGTGACTACTGGCCTACCTGTGAATGCGTTGCCTGCTGTTGCTGAGAACCTGTCAGAAGGGATTTTGCTTCATTGTGAGTAGAACAGTTGATTTTTTTCCCATAAATGATTACCTGCTGCCTCTGAATCCGGGGCGTGAGATATGAATCATCTGCAAGGTTTGGTAGTCCCTGGAAAAATGACCTGTTTTCTCTAAGTGAAAATGAATCCAACAAGCCATGCTGCTTTGAAATGTCTCATTGCTTCTTCTAATGCCTGTTTCCCCATGGAAGTTCTTAACTAAAACTCTGGGTAGCGCTGCTTTCTGGCATATAACAAGTATTTCATAGGCTTACCTGATAAACTTCCCAGGTCTGACCTTTCCCCCTGGATAGACTGTGGTCTTCTGTAGTTTGTGGTGTCAGCCCAGCTCGTGGGCCCACGTCTGTCCCTGGCTGTAGACAGAATGCACGTTCCATCCTGCAGACCAAAATACATAGGTGTCAGTGTAAGCCCAGAATACAGCAAGCTGCTCATCTGAGCCCAGATGGCAGACCCTCACCCTTAACGATTCACCTTAGGTGACAATACTGGCTGACAATGGGGGTAGTCAAGGTGAAATCATGACAAATGATGCCAGTCCTAAGCAAACTTGTCCTTTCTTCTAGCTAGACTAGGAGTTAATTGACCAGTGTTGGCCAATGCATTCTTGGCACCAGAGCAGTGAAAGCCTGCCTAAACCTGGTGTGTTCTTGCTGATTTCAGGCTGTGAGCATGGCATTGCTGTTCTCCAGCTCTCAGCAGTAACTCTAGCTCTGCTGCTTGACCGCTGATTGTTCCCTGAACTTAGGGAATGGGAGCTTGCAGAACTGAAACTGGAAGAAATGGAGACAGTGGAAGAAGTAAAGGGGAGGAGGAACAGGTTTTCAGGTCTTATGTAGCATCACAGCTTGTTGTAACCAGTGGAGTTTGTTGTGTGTCCTCATGAACGAGGTCAGAGAAGGGTGTAACGCATGAGAAAAAAATCCACTGGAACTTCAAGTGGAAAAACAGTCGCTAAAATGGTGTCTCAACAAAACACACCTTTGTTCCTCTGCTGTGCATAGTGAAATGGCTTGCAGTGGGTAAATCAGTAAGTTTCTACCAGCGAGTTATAAATTTGTAATAGAAATTTTCCATAGCTTCACACGTCCTCAATTGGTAAGGCTTCCATGAGGACCCACTGCCAGCACACACAGAAGGGAGCGATGCTGGTGGAGCACAGCAATGCTAACGCTGGCACAGCAGACTGATGAGTCACTCTCTCCCAGCAGTTTCTCCCAGCTAATGAATCTCTAAGTGTTAGCTGGGATGCTATCTTCAGAGCATTAAAAAAACATGTTGGTGAAAAAGATGCTTCTATCTGGCAAAGTTATTAAGTGTGGAACCGTGCAACGTTCCATCAGTTCCAGTGGGAGCATTGGTCTGGGGAAAGGTGGTCTGTGTGGAGGTTAACAATATTTGTGAATAGTTGTTCAAAAGTAAATAGTGATGTTTCCTGTGTGTCGTCTTTGGTGTGTGCTTCTCAAAGAGTGCTGGGAAGTATCGAGTTAATTCTTGATACAGACTGCAGTCTGCTCTTAGAAGTGGGAAAACACTTCTAAATACGAGTGTTTAGAAACATTGGGCAGGTTACATCTCTTTCCATCTCTTCAGTTTCCCAGTAGGGTCTGAGGAATGACCGTGGTATGCTTCAAAGCGAGGGATGTGAGTTAATTAATAGAATGCTTAGGGGTCTGCTCAGTTGAAGCTCCGTACGGAGAAAAGTGAATAAGGACTGACTCTTCTGGACCACCGTCAATACTGTGCTAACAGCTTATGTGTTTATTTCCCCTCTCTGATGTCTGCTGAGTCACGTGAGGTCACTGGTTTGCTTTACACGACTTGGGCTGAGAGAACTGGCTGTACCAAGTGAGCAGTCCGGAGGTATCTGTGACAGAGCAGGGGTTAGAAATAGGATGGAGAGGAGCAATTAATAGCTAGCTTCCATTGTGTGCTTTTGTATGCTTAGATGCTGGAAAAAACTTGAGTGTTTGGGGAAAGAATGCCCTGCGAGCATGCAGGATAGAAAGTAGATCTGCTGGTACGTGTGCAGAACAGGCAGCGATGCTGCATTCCCTGCACTGCCTGCAGCACTGCTGCGACTTCCTGCTGCCTGGCCTGCTGCTCTGCACGCAGGGGATGGCTGCTGATCGTGGCAATTCCAAAACAAAAAAACCCTGCCTTTCAAAAAAATATTGTACGTCTCATCTGTAATCCTCCCATGTAAATTATAACAACCTGACAGTTCTGCTTCGGTGCGTGCGTGGCACAGGAAGTGTGTGAGATGTGTTCATACAGTATTTATTGTAACTGACTGCTTTTCATTGGCAGGATGACTGCATTTCCCCAACTTACAAGGGGTATTTTCTAATGCTGGACTCCCACTTTCATCATTTGCCTCTTAGCCTTTTAGCGTAGCATGTATTTACTGCGTTTCTCTTTGACATCTTTAAAGATCTGACAATCTACAGAAACTTTTTGGATTTTATAGCTTCTCGCTTCATGATGATTTCTTTTGCTGAGATTAGAACTCCCATTAAAGCATTTACAAAGGCAAGGTGCTTCCCCTGCCTTGCTGTGGTTTGGGCATCTTCAAGTGGGAGGATATGGGAGGGAGGATGTGTTGTTCTGTATGTTAACTTATTTGCCATGGAAGAAGTAACACAGCTCTGATATTTTTCAGTGCAGCTTTAACAAGGGTTTCAGTGCAGCTGCTGCATGAGATCGACTCCTGTAGGGTGGAGCTCTCATACGTCTGGAGAGTCCTTTTGATTATACGAGAAAATATTTAAGGTTTGGGGAATAAATGTCACGTTTTGAGGAATGAATGTAAAGGAGGAGCTGAACATTGTTCACCCCGGAATGTTTTTCTCATGCAAGTTTAGGATAATTGGCACTTGAACACAGTTCTTTGCTGCTGTAAACAGCTCTCCACCTCCCTTTCAGTGGTGCGTTTTCTTGTTTTGATATCTGATTGTAATAGGAGAACAACACTTGTAGGGTCTTGTGTGGCAGCCTGGGATGTGGGGTGGGTTTGGGGGGGAGGGGGAACACTTGAAGAAGAGCCGATGCCTCTGTGCTGTTCTCCTTGAGTTGTGTTTATCTCCCTGGTTGCAGACTATGCTGATTCCTTAGCAGCCCCACCAGGCTGGGAGGTGTGAGGGCTGGGCTCTGCTCCCAGGCCTTCCAGCAGCTCTGTGTGCCATGGGAGCCTGGGTTTGTTTTGAAGGATGCATTTCAAAGCACTACTGGTTGGGATGGCATAGATAGTTCTGAAGTAGTGTGGGTATTGGGTATGAAATATTAGACAAAAAGAGCATTATATAATGCATTGTAAGAGCTTTCTTGGTGAAAATACTGTTCTCGACTGACACCTAGGAGAGAGGCCCAAAGATACAGTGGCTTTCAAGGGGAAGTCCTTCCATTTGTTAGTGCAGTGTCAGTTCTCTGCCTACAGACTGACTCGTCTTTTAGTCCCGCCCTGTTCTCCCTCGGTTATTTGTTACCACCCTCGCAAATGCACCCGTACCCAAAACAACGCTGTTTGCTGGACTCCAGGCTGCTGCTGGATTGTGCCGTCTGACCACGGCGCTGAGATCCCTGCGAGCTCACCCAGCCGGCAGCGTGCTGTGGGCATCGTGCCGTGCAAAGGGCCTAACGCAGCCCCCGGGGGGAACGCTTTCCCAGCCGATGCCGACACTCCTAAACCCGTATTTAACGCGTTACGCGGGTCTGGCGACGGCAAGAGTTCTCCTCTCAGCAGAAGTCTGAAAGCAGCTTTTTAAAAGCAATCCGGCTTTTGAAAGCCGCCGTCCCGCTGCCGTCGGGGCGCGACGAGGGCGGCCGGAGCCGTTCCGTATCCGCCCTGCCGGCCCCGCTCCGCCGCTGCCCGCCGCTGCCCTCTGCCGGCGGTCGGGCCGGGCGATGCCGCCTCCCGTTGCGGGATCCCGGGGTGCGGAGCCGGTCCGTCCCCGCGGGGAGCTGCCGTGTGCCATCGCCCGGCGGGGTCCCGCGATGGAGCGGATCTGACAAATTCTGTGCGCGCTTGGAGAGGCAAGCATCTTATTGGTTTAAAGTCTGCTGAATGGCAGCGATGCCAACTAACTGCAGTTGTTGAGCATTGATTTGTAAGCGGAGGCGGCTCCCCCTGAGCCTCGGGGCGAGCGGCCGAGCCTCGCAAACGCTGTGATGTGGGCTGCCGTGTGGCTCTTTGTATTTAGGGTTAAGGGTGTGTGAGAGTGCAGACGTGTGTGAGGTGCTGCTCGTTGTGTGACGCAGTGGTTGTGTTCCATGACACACCATGCTGTGCTTCCCTCGTCTCTGTGGCCTGGCTGGGATCCCACCCAGCTGCCTGCTGGTGCTGTACTAGTAATGCACTGCATCTCTTATGAGCAGTGCTGGTGCAGCCAAGCGAGTCCTATTAGATTGTTTGTTTTGCTCTTACAGTGGAATACAGCAGTGGAGCTGAGGAACAATTGTACTTTGTCCATAAGGAACGCAGAGATTCTTGTGCAGAGGCAAGGTTGCTCATTAGACTGTTTGAAAAATGCATGTATCCCCAAAAGATAATGGTGTTACATACGGTGCTGTGAGATTTTTATAGTTAATGTTTAAAAAAACAAATGGCCACAAAGTAAGATGCTCCTGCTCCTCAAAAGCAAACAAATTGCTCTCACTTGAAATGAACTTAGGGTGGGAAATCTAGTCAGAGTTACCCTCAGTTTCTGAGCGCTGGTTTGCTGTGGATGTGATGAGCAGCCCTGTGCCTGGTGCCTGCTGTGTGTGCACCGTCCATCGTTACCCAGGCCTGGTGCTGGATCTGAGCTGTGGGAACCTGGGGTCTGTGCTGCTCCTGGGACACAGCTTGTCCTCCCAGCTCACACAGGCTGCAGTGCTGCTGTGACTCAGACAGGGAT